CTTAAAACGTGGATTTATTCTCGATGCTTGGGGATCCAACAATAGGCAATTTTCTCAGTGGAGGGTGGTAAGCAGTGGGGTACCACAGGGATCAGTACTGAGTCCAATGCTTTTTAACTTGTTCATTAATGATTTGGAGTTGGGAGTAAGCAGTGAAGTGGCTAAATTTGTAAATGGCATGAAATTGTTCAGGGTGGTGAAAACCAGGGAGGATTGTGAGGCACTCAAAAGGGATCTGTCGAGGATGAGTGAGTGGGCATCAACATGGCAAATGGGGTTTGATGTGGCCAAGTGCAAAGTGATGCACATTGGAGCCAAAAACCCTAACTATAAATACACGTTGATGGGGCAGAGACTGACCAAGAGAGAGATCTTGGAGTCATAGTAAATAATGCACTGAAAATGTCAAGACAGTGTGTGACTGCAATAAAAAAGGCCGATGCTATACTGGGGATTATTAGGAAGGAAACTGATAATAAATCAGCCAGTATCAAAATCCCCTATGTAAATCAATGGTCCAATCTCATTTGGAATACTGTGTACCACACCTGGGGAAAAAAATTATAGCATTGGGAAAAGTGCAGAAAAGGGCAACTAGAATGATAAAAGGATTGGAACACTTTCCCTATGAAGAAAGGTTAAAACACTTGGGGCTCTTTAGCTTGGAGAAACAATGGCTGAGGGGTGACATGATCGAGGTTTATAAGGTTATGCATAGGATAGAGCAGGTAGAAAAAGAAGTACTTTTCTCCCTTTCTCACAATACAAGTACTTGTGGGCACTCAATGAAATTGCTGACAAGTCGGGTTAGAACAGATAAAAGGAAGTACTTCTTCATCCAAAGAGTGATTAAGACATGGAATTCACTGCCACAGGAGGTGGTGGCGGCTACAAGCATGGGCAGCTTCAAGAGGGAATTAGATAAACATAGAGGTCCATCAGTGGCTATTAGCCACAAGGTATAGATAGGAACTCTGGGGCAAGTGATGCTCTGTATTCTTGGTGCTGGGGGGGGGCAGTGGGAGAGCTTCTAGTGTCTTGGCCCCATTGATGGACCTCCTGATGGTACCTGGTATTTTTGGTCACTGTGTGATAGAGTGTTGGACTAGGTGGGCCATTGACCTCATCCAACATTGGCTTAACATAAACATGGTTTTCAGAAGGAGTGTAACCCCATGCAAAAGAGACCATATTCTGACTCCATGCTCAACAAAATATAACCTTTTTTTTGCCCCAATCCAATACATTTGAATGCTTGATTGAGAAAACATGGCTTATTGCAAACAGGAGATGCCCTCAGTACTTGAATGTTGGGAATGGGGATTGCTCAGAGCACACCCTTACATTACTCATATCAAGCTGCCAGATAGTGGCACAAAGAGAACAAGCTTACTTCTTCAGGGCTCTATATGTTCATTAGAAGGAAAAAAAGGTAGAAATAGATCAAACAAGGTATGCATCTCTTGCATAATAGGGTGTATTGGGATTACATGTTAGCTCACTTCAAAACATCAAATGAATGTTCCCTTTTTTTTCCAACATGTTGCTGTAGCTTTTTCCTATGACCTTCCACTTTCCCTAGCTGCTTTAGCAAGAAAAAAACTGGAAATTCGTACAACTTTATGTGACTGAGAAAATATTGTACACATACCTTTATCAATATATCTGGCAAATGTAGTAGCTGCATTGGAGGACTTATATTGCCTAGCAAATTATAGGAGGGTGCCAAGGCAAAAAAAATATTTATTTTTTCAGCCAGTTGAGGCAATTCAGAAAATGCCACAAAGCCTAGAAAAAAATAGACAATCCATTTAGTGTCACTTAATTTTTTTAAAGTGCAACATTTACAGGCCAAAAAATGTATAAATTCTCCTTAGTAAGTGCAAAAGTTCAAAGATTTTTTTTTTAATTTCTGAAGAATTATAATTGGGGGGGGAGTGGAATACAATGCTGAAGTGCTTTGACAGGATCCCTGTCCTCATAACTGACCTAATTTTAACCACTGCAGACACAGATCTTAGTATTCAACTGCCCCAAACTCAAATATAGTGTTGGGGGGGGTGTTGTTGTTTGTTTTTTTCATTATAGAATATATGAATAACAATACTAATTTATATGGCAATGTGTCAAAACAGACACAGTCTGACAGCATTTGAAGAGTGCTTTCCCACTTCAAACACTCATTTCAAGTAACAGACCCTATGCTTACCTCATAGTTGAAACCTGTGCCAATTTGTGTAGAAAACATTTGACAATGAATGACAGCTGTTTTTAACCGACCTCAACCCACGCACCCTAAATTTCCACCAGTGGCAAATGAGACCTTCCTTTTCCTTCAGTAAAATTTCTGCAGCTCCTTAAAATTCTAGAAAGTATCTAAGCATCATGGAATGAAATATGAGAATGAAGGCCACAGGGTATTCATTGGAAAACCTGGAAGATGTTGCCTTTTATTGCCTTATAATCCTTTTATATTATTATTGTAAAATCTTAATCACTATACTAGTAAAGCTTAGAGAAAGTTGTGTATTATTCTCCATGTTAGACAGGCTTTGTTCCAGCTCAAACTATTACTTTCCTCATATTTGCTCACACAGAGAATTATGGGAATGTAATGATAACATCTTCCCACTGTTTCCTTTTTGTCAGCTTCACACCATCCTTGAAAGTTGGTCTGGAGCAGCAACTTAAATTATACAAGCATTCAGATTTTTTTTACTAGTCTGTTAACTGTGAAGGCAGCTAGAATATAGGCACACAAACACCCCCCAGAAAGCATGCCAATTTTTCTTGCCTCAGGGCCAAACTACATGTTACTGCGTTCAGGGGTCATTTTGTAGAAAAAGTACAGGAGCTCATTAGCATAACTCATTAGCATGACTTATTTGCAAATGCCACAGCTCCTGACATCACCGGAAGTGTGTCAGAAGGCAACACCCACCGCTCAGGCTCCACCCCAAAATTCTCCAGGTATTTCCCAACTCAGATTCAAACCTGGGTCTCCCAAATCCTTGTCTGGAACGCTAACCACTACACAACATTATGGCAGCGGCTGTTGAGCAGTAGCAAGCAGCTGGGCCTGCATGAGTTATGCAAGTTGCATGGTGTCAAGTTGTCCAGTGGCTGCTGTCAGGCCTGACATGCTCTCTCCCCCTTCATTTTACTGACAGAAACAAATACTTGAAGGCTGGAAATACTGCTGTGGTTGACAAGCAATGGAGAGGCATTGAGAGAATTCCTTTCATATAGCTACAGGTGCTGCTTCTATTATGGGTGAGGGTTGACCCAACGTATTTTCAGCCGCCATCGATGATGGACAGCAGTTGGCTAGGTACTTCCCTGCTGGTCCAAATCTTCCACAGCTAACAATGTTTTCTCAGGAAGATGTTTTTGGCTGACAAAATCAAAGTATAAATCAATCATAATAAATCTATTTAATTCTTGACATGGCCAAGTTTGTGGATAGTTGGATCCATAATCAAACAAGACAGATATTTCTACAAAAACTCTGAAATTAAAAACATTGTTGTTGTTGTTGTTAGTCATTCAGTCATATTCAAATCGCCGAAATATTTTGATCTTATCAGCCAAAAACATTTTCATGAGAAAACATTCTTAGTTGAGGAAGATAACGGACTAGATCCGGGACTGTCTCCATAGTGTCTCCATAGGGTATAATGATCCTCCCCAGTTGCGGGGGGGGTGGTGGCGGCAGGCTCCCATAATTGAAGGGAAGGCAAATTGCCTTCCCTTCAATGAAGGGAGTGTGCAACCACTGCGTGCAACTCCAGAGAGGGGGGATTTAAACTTTAAACCCCCTCAGTCTTTGGAGCCACTCTGCAGAGGTGGCACGCTCCCTTCAGATGTTTCTGCCTGACAGCAGGGCCAGAACTGGCCCCGCTGTCATGCAGAAGCTTCTGCTGGGTTCCCTTTCTCCCCCTCCCCCTTTCCCTTCATCCCGCTTGGAGGTGAGGCGATGGGAAAGGAGGGGGGAGGAGTAGATCCCAGGCGCTTCTGCCTGTCAGAGGGGCTGGCACACTGGCCCCTCTGTCAGGCAGAAGAAGCCCTGTCATGTTTAAAATAAAACTCTTTAATTATAGAGATTGTGTCTGACTCTTCCTTGTGTTAAAAGACAAAATCCGTTATACATGCAGGGAGATAGGAAAAGATCCCTCTATAGCAAAGTGAGTGGTGTTTGGGCCAACAGAGAGAGAGAGAGAGAAGCCCAACAAGGGAACAGCTACTTTTTAAAAAAGGAGAGGCCAGATAGGCTTGTAATGATGCTGCGGCACCTGTCCCCCCCCCCAGCCATTTTCCCATACAAAAACCATGCTGGAGGGAGTTATTTCCCCAATTTTGCTGCTCCAGGTGCACAGATACTCCACATGGAGCAGCAAAACAAGGGAAATAATTCCACCCCAGCTGCACTCCAATGTGGTTTTCATGTGGAAAAACAGCTTGGGGGGAGGCAGGAGCCCTTCCTCCCCCTGTGGCGTCATTCCAAGTCCATTTGGGCTTTCCTTTTCTTTTTAGAAGCTTTTCCTTGCAGCTGCTGTGAGGCTGTGGGGAACACTAGTTGGGTCCAGGGAACCTAGATACAAGTCCTTAAAAATAGTAATGTGTAACTTGCCCCTCCGCTGTCTAAAACAGACAGTTCTATGGGGGTTATAGAGAAAAACTGTGTGACTGTGATGAGAGGATCACTCTAGAGGTTCGTCTCCATCTATTGGCTGAAACCAACAACAGCTGAGCTGGCCCATGCATTCTGCATCGTCATTCCATTTCCCCAGAACTTTTTTTGTAGAAAAAGTCAGGAATTCATTAGCATAATAGGCCACACCCAACAGTAGGAACTTGTTAGTGTATTAGGCCACACCCTTGACAGTGCAGCTCATTAGCATATTGGACCACAACCCCATGCCTTCCCTTGGCTTGCCCGGGTGCCCTGCGGCTGCGGGGCGCCTGGGCAAGGCGACCCTTGGACAGGCCGGGGAAGGCATGGGGAGGCATATTAAATGCCTCCCTAATCCTTCCAGGGGGCCCCCTGGCCTGCCTGCCTTGGAGTCGCCGGGGGGAGTTGCTCTCCAGGCCTTCCCTCTGTAGTTATGCACGCAGAGGTTTTGGCTGTAGTGGGCGTGGCCAACTCTGAAGCCAGCCGGAACTCCGTTCCTGTGCGTTCCTGCCCAAAGATAGCCCTGCATTTCCCAGTGATCTGGGTATTTGGAGCACAATGCACCACACAAAACGTCCTCTGTTTTTTCACTGTCTCTGAGCTATGACAGCAAAGACCCTCCAAAAGCCAATAAAACCTCTCTTTTTCATATAAGTGAATACCAGCCTTAATACCATACCTATACTTAGCCTTAATACCTTGATACCATACCTATACTGCTTCCCTGAGAATGGCCAATATAATAGATTTGCTGTTGTCCAGTTTTCTGTAGAATAAAGTTTACGATGGCAGAAAGGTCAAATATGCCCATTTCATGAAAACTGAAAAGCAGAAACACAAATGTATACATAAGCTTTGTTCATTTGCACTGGATCTGAACCTGGAAAGCATTAACATACATATTTAACAGTCTTCAAGCACTTAAAAATTTACAGTAAGGTAGAAGAACAGCTAGGCCAACTGGCTTCAGTCTAAAACCAAGCAGATCAAGGATTCAGTAAAAGGAACACTTTAACTGGGCTACCATTTGCTTGACCTCCCTTTCTGCTTTTGTGATGACCATGCCTAGATGAAGGTCACTGGAAAGCATCTTACGGATTTCCTCCCTTGAATAAATAGGTTATTTCTGGACTAGAAAGCACCAATCTGTACAATCATAAATTTTTTCTAGACTGTTCAGGAAGCAGGTGAGTTAGTGGTGGTGAGCTGACTGCAAGGCCCAAACTGCATCTAGCAGTTTTATCAAACCTATGATGGAACAGAAATTCCTCTCTACATTGCATGCCACTTTCACTTTGATTGATTGTCGGATTTTATGACAGTGTCCAGACTGCATGCTGCTTTCACTTTGGTTGATCTCTCGGTTTTATGGTAGCCATCTGCATAGATTTATGGCTGTTTTATGGCCGTTCAAGGGTGACACTACAGTCAGTACAGCATTGGCCCAGGGTATTTGAATGTGGTTTTGAGCCTCATCTTTTTTTGTTCCAGTGTGGGTTTGGTAAACAGAGGAGCAAATGCTAGATGCAGATTGGGCCCAAGTTTCAGTCCTTCACACATAGGCATGCACACAACCCCAGTGGTGGTGGAAAGTGCTGTCAAATCACAGTGAAGTTATGATGATTTGGCAGAGTTTTCAAGGCAAGAGACAAACAGAGGTGGTTTGCCTGCCTCTGCATAGCAACCCTAGTCTTAAAAAAGGAAAGCAACTGCCTGAAGGTGCTGAGTCTTCTTTCATACCAGTGTTTAATGTAGACACTGGAAGAGCATCAGGAAGACAGGTGGCTGTAATATGAATGTCAAACAGCTGACAGTACAAGGAGAATAAAAATCGGAATGGGTTGGATCCAGCAAGCTTTTTTATTCAATTGCACCCAGTGCTCCTACGGCCCTCATCCTACATGGCTTTTGTGCCTGCAGGACCCATGATCCCCAGTACCACCTTTTTTGTGGTCACAAGGTACTGCAGGCCCAGATAAGTCTATTTTTGCAGCCACAGAGCTGGGGGAAAGGACAGAAGGTTCACGGTGGCCATATAGCAGCCACACTTTTCTATGTCGACATGCACTCACAATCTCTCTTGTCAGTGACAAGAGTGAATTATACATTTTAGACAGGAGAAAGTACTTGACCTTGACTGTTTGTTGGGTGCTGTGCCAGTTTCCTTTACTGAAGAAGGGTCCGGATCACCGAAACGTGGGAGTCAACTGGAAGCCCCGTCTCATTTGTGCTTTGGACACTGCACAGATTTTGATTAATTCTACTTATAAATTTTCCTTGGACTTTTCCCTTGTGAGGGTTTTCTGTATGCCATTTTGATACTGGATGGAAATAACTACAGTTTTGTACTGAATGTCTCATACGGAATATTGAAAATAACTAATACATTACAGTAACACTTTGAGTCTATGCAATCATTTTCACTTTTGCCTTTATTGTAATAGCACTGTATTTCACAGTAGTTTTTGTTTGTTTGTTTGCTTGCTTGCTTTTGCTGTCATAAAGTAGCCACAGGAGTTGGCCTTGGAGGCAGCTTGGGACAGCCAATCAGGTACCTGAGCCAGTCAGGGTAGGGCAGGGCTTCCAGGAGGACCTAGGAGCAAGAGTCTTCACTCTGATCTGTCCCATCCAGATATAAGCAGCTCAGCTAGGGCTGCTCGGTCAGTTGGCTCCGGCTTCTCCTGAACTGAAGATTGTCGATCGTTGTGGGGAAGAAGTTTGGCTTCCTGACTCCAGCTTCAGTGGTGGTGTAAGGAACAGAGGTTGTAGGACTTAGCCTTGCATGTTCACTATATTCAGCTGTGAGATTTTATTATGGAGGAGAATCATCCTTGTAAACCTCCCTAATCTTTTTGCAAGCCAGAAGGGTTAATTAGGGAGTTGAATTCTTATCAGCTGGCGGCCGGACAACAGAGGAATGGACCTAAGTAGAAGGAGCTACGGTGGCGAGGCACTCTCTCATTAGGCTTCACAGGGTGGGGCCGGCTACACTCTGGGCTGAAATGATCCAGTTTTTCCTACCTGATATTGGACTGTTTTAAGGAATTGGCCTCACAGAAGTGAGTTATTGTTTTCATTGGGCCTGTTACCTGGCTTTTTATTGTTTGTTTGCCGTTGCTTGTTATGATTGGATGTTTCCTGCTTGTTTACTACAGCTAATTTTTTTCAATTAAATCCAGTAGTTCTCTTTTTTAAACCTGGTCTTCAGAATCTATTTTGCTGAGTGACTGCATTTATCTACATAAGCGAACCCCAAGGTCATAGGGACCTGACAGGTGGGAACAGAACTTCAACATCCATCTTCAGTAGCAGAAACTTCAGTGGCAGCATGGCTTTTGAAGTGGACCCAGTGGTGGCCTTTGACCTCAGCAGCAACCCATAAAGATTGCAGCAATCCAGCGGAGGCCTCTGTTAAAATCCCATTCCTTGGCTGAATCAATCCCTCCAGCTAAGTCACTCCCTCCACAAGCCATTCTTGTGCCCTCCCCCACTACAAATCATGCTCCGTCTATGTTCTGGGACTACACCAGGAGTGTAGGGGTGCAGTTCCTCATGCCTGGCCTTTCTTTCAGGACATTTGGGTCTGCTATGGGTTTTGGGTCACCTTCCTACACACAGGCAAAGCATGTGGGCCACTTTGTGGTTGGCTTCCTATCTTTTGCCATAGCATGGCACTCACCTCATAAGGGTCACTAGTGGGGGATGTGAACAAGCAGGCTGTGTCTTGGGGCTTTTTTCCAGCGCAGGAGTGGAGCAGCACCTTTTGGCAGGCAGCCAGTTATTCTTGCTGTCCTCTCTACTGAGGGAGATCCACACTGAGGTCTCCCTCCTGCTCGCATACAGGCCTTTGGTTGTTGTTGGTCCTCTGTCTTCAAGGCCTACATTTGCCCCTCCTTCAGGCCCATCTCCTAATGTCCTTTCTTTTAGTTCCAGCAGTGCAACACAGGTTGGTTTGGACTGTGGGCCCCAATGTTGTACATAGGGCCAGGATCTATGCAGCTTCATCTGGATGGGGGACACCTTCAGGCTAGAGGACTGGCTCACTATCTCATGGATCGGGTGCAGGGGAATGGGCTGAAAAGCTTTGGTATCAACTGTCATGCATCACATCATGCATCATGTTCCTCCAGATGTCTTGGTCATCCAGTTAGGTAAAAATGACCTCACCAGCAGGAAAGGAGTGAATCTCTTATTGGCTCAGGATATGGATTTACTGTTGTTGGTCTCCTGCTTCCCACCCAGACATATGACTCTTCTAGTTGGAGCTGCTGGAGTGGGACAATTGGCATGGGGCCATCTCCCTGAACAAGGTCAATGTTGCAAGGCAGAACCTGAGCAGGGCAGCCGGGCAGCTAGTAGAGGTGGATGATGGGTCCAGCATAAAGCATCTGAACATTTCCTTCTGACAGGCAGCTCTTTTTCAGGCAGACAATGTGCACCTGTCAATGGGGTCAGGATATTTGGCTTCACAGCATCTATGGTGGCCTGCTTTCTTGGATACAGTCATAGGAGCTTTGGCTGGAGTTGGGAAGTCACCCATCTCTTATGTCGCTTTGTACATTGGGCTTGAACCCATTTTGGGGGGAGGTTGAACCTGCAGGTTTGCCTCCCTTAGTTTGTAGATCTTCATTAGGGGTCTTGGGAGGCCATTCAGTGATATGCCCAGCTTGGGCTGTCACCTGGTTCTCACCTTCAGATGCAAGGGAAACACACAGTGACTTGTACTCATGTGGATCCCAGGACTTACCGTCCTATGGCACTCCCCCAGCAGGTGGTCTGGGGGATATTTGGTGCCTTTGGCTCACAGGCAGGTCACCCAGTGCTAGATTCATGTCTTATGCTATGCCAATGCTCCTGTGTGTGTTCAATAAAAGCTGTGGCTTGTTTCTTCTCTTCAGTCGGTGTGTCTGCTTTTTTATTCACCCCTTTCCCCCCCACTCCCTCCCTTGTCCCTAAGACCACAAACTGCATCTGCTCTTTTTCAATAGTAGAAAAGTAGTTTGGATCCAAACCAATATCATTTAGGAATCACTCCCATTTACATGGGTGACAGAGAGGTCATTCAGCCAATGGACAACTTGAAAGCTGTCCTCATACTGATGCCATACAGAATATATTCAGTTGAATAGCGTGTTTACTAACAAGCACCGGCTGCATTCTGCCTCTTGTAGTACTTATGATTATTTTATCTCAAATTTCATGAGAACCAATCCTTCATTACAGCTATGAATGCTCCTTGACATGGTTTATTCACAGAGTTCCTGGGCATTCTCTCATCAAAACACTGGCCAACTACAAATTTAATTAGCATCATGGAGGCTGAAGCACCACCTAACTTTAGACTATGCCCTGCTACTCCACCAAAAAGATCCTATAAACCCAATCAACTCTTATTCTCTAATCACAATGTTAAGAACTGGTTGTTTTCTTTTGCTTGGTATAGCTTGAATGTATTTTGCAATGCTCTGATGATGATAGCAACAACCTGATATTTGTATTAGCAATAGGGTTCCCAAGTACTTACCGTGATCCGGCGGGGGAAACATGCTCCCCAGCTGGACCATTCCTCCCTGTAACACACCATGCCGTCACCAGGAAGTGATGCTGGGCGACGCTCTGGCAATGGGACTGAAAACTCGATGGTACCATTGAGTTTCCAGCCCCATTACCAGAGTGTCGCCCGGCGTCACTTCCTGGCGACGGCATGGTGCGGCGTGTCTGTTGTCCCCGCAGGAATGATCCTGTGAGGATGTCTGTGTCCCCCGCTGAATCACGGTAAGTACTTGGGAAGCCTGATTAGCAATTAGAGGTGAAGATTTCACTCATCCACATTGGATCTGCATATTTATAAGGATAAAGCCAGGAACATAGAAATACAGAACCATTTTCAGCCCGACTTTTTTACAGAGTTGTAAATTATTTTACAGGTTGAATCCAGACTAAATTAGCAATTTCCACCAATTCAGGCCTGTAGCCAGGATTTTTTTGTTCAGGGGCATTTAAATTTTTAAGGGCACAGTTAAAATACAGTTAATTAAATTAATCTGAATGCCTGTCTTCAAAGGCAGAGGCCCTAAGCCAGTTTCTAGCCCTTCCTTTCAAGGAACAGGGCAGCGACCTCATCAGTTCCTAGGAAAAAAACAGGTCAGAGGACATTTAATTGCCTTCGGAAGGCATTTAAATGCCTTGAAAGTACCTCTCTTGAGTGCCCTTCTAAGCTTTCTTGCCCTGTGGAAGGGAACTCAAAAGGCATTTAAATGCCTTCTGAGGTGTTTATTTCCCCGGGTCCCATGATGCCCCCACCCCAGTTCCACAGTGGGAGGGAGAGTGAAGCCTGAGGGCAAGCCGAGGAGCTCTCACCCTGGCTGCTGCCACAAGTAGGCAGCAGAGGTCTCTCCTCAAAAAGAAGGTTTCTGGCATGGCTGTTTGTGGGGCAGGGCTTTTAATTAAGAGGCAGTGCCCTGAAATGCCCCACTGTAGCTACAGGCCTGCACCAGTTCCTCCTTCCCATTGCAGAGCCCCTTCATGTCATTTCTCAGAGTACCCAGTCCACCAGAAGCAGAATTTTATGGAGATCAGTGGGGTGCACTGGGAGGGGGGAGGGGGAAGTTCTCTTATCTTAATGGGAAATTTACTCTGGAGTCAACCCACTGAGAGCCATTTAAATGATTAAACTTGATGGCATGTGGCATAAACCTACACTTCTGCTACAATTAATTGCCCTACACTTCAGTCATATGGATGTCATACACCTATGTTTCAGCTACAAAGGTATCCAAATGAGAGTAAATTCTATAAACAAAACATATTTTAAATTCCATGAAAGTGGAAGGCAAAAGGCTCCTTGAATGTCACATTTTTAATGATTGCATATCAAATGAACTTACCTGAAATTCCAGAATTCATCTTGGTCAATTGTCAAGAATTTGTGTCTTCTAGACCAGGAGTTTCCTCTGTTATTTCCAATCCACACATCATATCCAGCATCTGCTAGAATGAAGCCCAGGCTATTATGGGGCAGGTTTGCTACCCAGACACTGCCCTCCATATCCAAACAATGGGCCAGCAGTACAGCAGATTTTGAGCCTGAAGATATAAAGACTTCTAAAATTAAAAAGTCAATAATAAAGCACACAAAAACTTCTTTAGCATGAATCAGTGGTTAGCATGCTGGGTCTGGATGTCCAGCTAGGAAATCCTATGAGGCAAGGTTGAAGGAGATGGGTATGTGTTGTCTGGAGAGGAGATAATTGAGAGGTGATATGATAGCCATCTTCAAGTATATGAAGAGCTGTCAGATAGAGGATGGAACAGAGTTGATTTCTGTTGCCCCAGAAGGTCAGACCATGACCACTGGGTTGAAATCAAATCAAAAGAGTTTTCAGCTAAACAGTAGGAAGGACTTCCGGACAGAGTGGTTCCTCATGGAACAGGCTTCCTCAGGACATGGTGGGATCTTCTTCTTTGGAGGTTTTTAAGCAGAGGCTAGATGGCCATCTGACAGCAATGATGATTCTGTGACTCAGTATGAATTTAGGCAGATCATGAGAGGGAGGATGGGAAGGGATGAGCCAGTGCTCAGCTCTTGTGGCCCTTTTATATGCCCAGGATATGCCCAGGATGATACCAATTGCCACGATGAGGTCAGGAAGGAATTTTCCTCCAGGCCAGATTGGTCTTTCCCATTTTTAACAGTGGCCAATAACGCAACAGAGAATCCCCTAGTCCTTGGCCATATTGAAAATGGGGCTTCACAGGTTCTTGTCAGTTTCAGAAAAAGTCTGGTCAATTTCAACATTGGGTTTTCCTCCTTTGCCTTTCTGTTCCCTTTCATTTAAGGAACAAACACTAAAATGCATGGGCAAAACCTGAACCAGGAGGATTTAAATGGAAGGTGCTTGCTGGATGCTAATGCACAGCTGCAATTGGACAACTGTGTAATTTAAAAAAAAAAACTGGATGCCACCCCCATACATCACAAATCATGTTCCACCCCAATTCAGAAAAGTGTGTTTTCTTAATTGTAGCTGCAGAATAAATACACCAGAGGAAAAAGAATAGTACATAAAGAGGGCACAGAATTCAAAGTCAAGATTAAAGGCTTACTGCTCTAAAAATCTGCAGTAAGGTATGTGTGCATAATGGGCCTTTGAGTCATCAGTGGTATGTGGTTCTTCTTGCTGCTTGCTGTGCCTGAGACAGACACACATCTTTCACCCATCAGAGACAATGCACAGTCGTTATGTTAAATTACACTTGTTAGGTCTAATGAGCCTTAATATAAATATGTTGTTCCACCATCAGTCATTGTGGTTGACAGTTATTACCTTACTGAGCATTTTAGAGTGTTGCATCAGCGTGTCTCCTTATTTTATGGATGTGTTTACACATATATTTTTCTCTTTGTCTATTAAAATCTAGACCTCCTTTACAGAAAGAAACCCAAAGCATGGCAATCACATTTAACTAAGGCTGCACCAATCTCACTTGCTGTTGAGATAACAAGTGGTAATTTATGTGGAATGGATTTTTTTCCCAAATCCCTTACATCATATATTGATTGTTTATGGTTATTAATGAATGCACCGCACCACTTTCTAAGAACAAACCCTTAGAGGTTGCACTGATCTCTAAGACCAACAGAGAGTTCCATCATAGAACTACCCTAGATCTGCCCATTTTGGACAGTGAAGTGTCATTTTCTACCCAGCCTCAAGTCTAGAATTCTCTACCCACCGAAACTGAGAAGGTCAAGGGATGCAGACACCTCTTAAACAGGCTTCACCTGCAGAGAGCACAACAGCTGTTTGTTTAACCGAGAGGGGCGGGTTTTTTCTCCAGAGGTGATGTTAAGTAGTGGGTTGCCACATGGATGGACGACAGACAACGACGTAGTCATTGCTTTATTAATCACACAACAAAGACAAACGGCCGGCAGGCCAACTATATACACAGCCAAGGAACCACCCCTGGGTCCCATGGCGTGTTGAAATTCCCCGCCACGGTTCCCATTGGTTCCCCCAGTGGAGGGACTAGGATCCTAGTCCCCATTGTTGTCCTGGACTGAAGCTCAGGCGTGTGCGCTGGCCTCCGGTCAGCGGACACTACAGGTGAAAAGGGCATCTGTTGGTTGGGAGCATTTCTATGCCTTTGTCTCCTTTCCCAGTCTATGCTGCCAACAAACCACACATATCCCAAGTGCTGGGTGAGCCCATCCATTAGGCACACCTGGCTGATTGCCTAGGGCACCAGAGGTGGAGGGGTGCCCAAAGCAGCCCTGTTGCCCCCCCCCCGCCCATGCATCTGGACCTTCTGAGGCAAGCAGCAGCTCTGGGCGGCATCCCAGACCCAGTGGGTGCCCTGCGGTGAGCCTGTTCCTTCCCTATGCCTCTCTGTTGGAAGGAGCCAGGAATGGACCTTCTTCTTCCTTTTCTCCCCCATCAGTGAGTCGGGCTGAGGGTGGGGGGAAAGGGCAGGGAGCAATTTCTCTGCCGCGGAGGGGGACAGCAAAGTTATTCACCTAGGTTGCCAAAGATCCTTGGATGTCCCTGCCCAGGTGTGTTGTAGCTTTTGGCTGTAGCCCTTTTATTTTATTTTTCAAATATCAGCCACTCACTCTTATGATTGACAAACTAACTTTATTTTTCAAATATCAGCCACTCACTCTTATGACTGACAAACTAACGCTTCACCAGAATAACCTATGTAAAATTAAAGAAAGCAAAAAGGAGATGCCAACAAAGATGCCTATAAATGTTAGGGAAGCAAAGAAGCCCAGTACTAGAGGCTCCAGCTGACATGCCAAGGGTCGGTAGTTTCTCTGCTGTTTGGGGGTGAAAATGATGGCTCCCATGAGGAACTGCAAAGCTCCGTGCCAGACTATTCAGTCCTTTGTACTTGCAGGAGCTGCATTCTCTCCTTGGCCTTCCTCAAGGTTGCACACTGAGATCCTCGAACACACAGAGCTGCCCAGACATCATTCACTGACTGAGGGCTGTTATCTGGTGCTAATCTGTCGTGTTGTAATAGCTACTTGTAAGCTACTTTGAGCCAAGAGGAAAGGCAGGATATAAATATTGCAACAAATAAATAAATAACATCCTGTGAGCACTCTTATTTACATATAGATTTAGAGCTATATGCTACCTCTCCAGGCATGTTCAATATGGCTTAAGAAATACTTGTATACATGCCCAGTAACATTTGTCATGTCTCGTATTTTGCATAATTTACTCTGCAGTTTTAAATATTTTGTGTTGCTTTTTCCCCCTCCAGCCTTAGGAAATAAATATTTTACATACATAGAGAGAAAGAGAGAGATCTAGAAAAATGTTTTAAAGAGACTCTGAATCACATACTTTCCAAAATCCAAATAACCGCACAATTACTCTGATGAGCCTAAGGAGAGCTGCAACTTGTGTTTCTCAAAAAGCATACCGCATCAGAATTTGCTTTCAAAACTGCAAAATCTATTTGCATTATGGAGCCCAAAAGTGTGCAAATAAAATGTGCCTCTATGGTTCAAACTTGAGGGGGGGGAATCAAAATTCTATCCTCAAGGCCTTGGGCATGGCTTAAGTTATAGGGCTGCCAGCTCTGGGTTGGGAAATACCTAGAAATTTGAGGGGGTGGAGCCTGGGGTGTGTGGGGTTTGGGGAAGGGAGGGACCTCAGCAGGGTACAATTCCAATGAGTCCACCCGGCAAAGCAACAATTTTCTCCGGGGATCTGATCTCTGTCACCAGAAGATGAACTGTAAAACTGGGAGATTTTACAGGCACCACCTGAAGGCTGGAAATCCTACTCCAGTAGGTCTTTGGCCTGCATTCACATCATGGCAAACACCCAAACCTGGCTGTGTATTTCATTATGAGAATAAGATTGGAAGCAAAGCTTCATTTCCCACCCCACCCCCCGAAATAATGGTCTTGTATGTTCCTAAATTTTCTTTCACCTCCTGGAATTCTGTTCAGGCTCAGAAGATAGCCATCGTGCGTAAGGACCTCATATTCTTCTGAAGGATATCTCCAGTACTGGATTCTCTCACTCTGTAAGAATACCACAACAAAATTAGTTCCATGTTTTAAACAGACATTTAAAGCAGTTGGCTGGAAGCTGCTTCCCCCAAATGCTTGCTGACCTGATGGGGCTAAGATTCATTTGTTTATTCATTTATACCTCCTTTTCATTCCTACAGGGACCTGAAGCAGCTTACATTGTTCTTCTCTCCTCCATTTTATCCTCACAGCAACCCTATGAAGAAGGTTAGGCTGGGAGTGTGTAAGTGGCCAAAGGACACCCAGAAAGCTTCTGTGACAGAGCAGGGATCCAAATCTGGGTCTCCCAGAACCTCATCCAACACTCTAACCCATACACAACACTGGAAAGATTGATTTACTGTAGTCCTGCAGATGGGAAGTAATATTTATATTTGCATCTGTTAACAACTAAGAAATGGCTTTTTCATGGTTCAAAAGTGGTTATGCCAATAAAGGTCTATGTATGTGAATGTATGTGTGGTTCAAAAGGGATCAGTACCACAAATGACAAAAGTGAGCATGGAAAGAGATCAGAGTGATTTTGAAATAAGATGTCTCAGATCCTGTTCCTCTCTGGATCCATCCTCTCACATGCTGGGGTATTCCTGTTCCAGATATAGGCTTCCCTCTTCCTTGTTTCAGATGAAGACGTATGTCTGTAGGAGCCCCATGTGTTTTACTCTTCCAGCCAAGGGTTCATAATGACCCCACGCGCGCAACCTATGAAGCAAATTATGCAACCGCCTTTGAGGCAACAAAGGCAACAAAGGCAGATGAGGCAACAAAGGCAGGTGCGCAAGGATACAATATGAGATTGGCCCCAAGAAAAGAGTAATTACTCTGAAACTTCATACTTCTTCATGCAGGTGTTTCCTCCTAATACGTTTCTTACTTGTACCTCTTTGATGTTCCTTAAAGTTTCACTTCACACGGGAGTAGAAACCACATGTCTGCTGCTAAGTACCCAGTCTGTCACCCAGGGGGAAGACATCTGTGAAGGTAACACTGAGGGGGCAGGGGATCACAGAGGAGCTAACGCAGCAGGCAGACTCAATGTTTTTGGAAGGGATGGGGTTGGGGGTGGGGTATGCCCATTGGCGTACTGGCAGCCAGGAATGCCAAATGACTTGCATGGTTTCCACTGCAGTACGTTACTACTCATGGAATTAATGATTCAATGCAGAATGGATTTGGAATGACAATCTCTGAGCACTGATTGCTCTGGGACAGGAATGACAAAGCCCATAGAGGAATGACAGTCATTCCAGTCCCAGACCACCTCTGCTCCATTGAGGAGGCAATTGGGGGATTTGAGGGTGGTGCTGCATGCCTCCACATCTGAGCCCACCCCAGTGACCCCCTCTCCTGCTCTCCCACTGGCAGGGGGGGTGGGAGTGCCCTTGGCAATGTTAGGGTTGCCAAGTCTGGGTTGGAAAATACCTGGAGACTTTGGGGGTGGAGCCAGGAGAGGGTGTGGTTTGAGGAGGGGCGGGGGCTCAGCATGGTACAATGCCATAGAGTCCACCCTTCAAAGCAGTCATTTTCTCCAGGGGAGCTGATCTCTGTCGGCTGGGGATCAGTTGTAAAAGCGGGAGATCCCCAGGCCCCACCTGGAGCCTGGCGACCCTAGGCAACGTGGCTGGGCCGCTGGGAAGCATGCCCTCCAGTGAGCAAATGCATAAGGTGGAAACAACAACTCATCCTTCCTTTTCTTTTCTTCGGGGACCCTGTGCTCTGTGTGGGTATCGAGGCAGCGGCAGATGCCTGTGGGGCAGACAGTTCAATCCCTCTTCCCACTTCAGGTGCCTGGTTCTGCTGACAGGAGTTGGTTCTTTAAGGCGGTGGGGTGTGTGCTGCTGACAACAAGCCAAACTCCTGTGGCCTGCCCCTCTCTGCCCCCTGCCTGAGATGGAGACTGGACTCCACCCCCTTGCCAAATGGTCCCTGATTGGTTCTGGCGGCCCAGTCCGTCATAGTACCACCACCTTCACACAATGCCTCCACTGACTGCAGCAGTGTGGTTGCTAGGGATGCTTCCCTGGTGACACTCAGAAAACACTGTGAACCCACCGACTTTGGTTGATTCTGCACTGGCTGCACTCCATTGTTTTACAACACCCACATTGGAACAGAAATTCCCCTCTGCAATGCATGCTGCTTTCACTTTCTTTGATCATCAGATTTTATTGTAGCCTCAACACTCCTTGCCGCTTTCACTTTCTTTGATCATCAGGTTTTATGGTGCATTCTGCATAGATTTGTGGCCATTTTATGGCCGTTCATGGGTTACTTTGCAGTCAGTACAGCTGCCCTGAGGTACTTGAATATGATTTTGAGCTGCACTTTTTACTCCCAGTTGAGAAAATGTGGAGCAAATGCTAGATGCAGAATTGCCCTCTGTCTGCGGGCACAGTGTAATTTATGCCCATAGGGAACGGACTAGTGCTGCTGTAGTTACACAGCAGCCAGCCGCTGCGGAGCAGGCATGACACAGGATTGCACTGTAAAACTACCACATTGCTCATTTTTATCTGACATCTCAACTTACGATATTCATAAATTGTTCAGGATTCTGTTCTGTCTTGTTTTTGACTTCCTCTGGACTGACATGCCCTACGACAATGATCAGGGTCAGCAAGAGCCATATGCTAGACAACCTACAAAACAAATGAATATTTTAGAGTTTAGACCATTTCAAAAGGGGACTTTCCCCAAAAATGTGTAGCTATTTGCAGAAAATCAAACTACTACACAGAAATAAAGAGTAGCCATCAACTAACACTCTGAAGAGAAATTAAATCGAAGCTTGTATTCCTGTTTTCTGTCCAGATGTTTCCTGCAGAGAATAACACAATTATGTGGAATCAAAGCATCCATACAACTACTTCCATTTTACCAAGGGAGATATGGGCTTGTATTGTTCAAATAATAGTCTCACATGTTTTGTGAAACAAATAGGACTTTCAAAAGCAGCTTAGAATTTGACATGGCTGCAAGGGTGGAATTCAGTAGGCATGCCTAAAGAACTGTTTGGAGCCTTCCCTGTCACTATGATCTCACATATGTTATAGACAACAGCATGGGCTGGACCAGTTCTTACCCTTAATATAGAGAGTTGAGTGGACTCACAAATGATTGTATGCTTCCATTGTATGTACCACTTAACAACTAAGATTCCAGAGCTGTAAATTGCCACCAACATAATGGGGGCTGTTTTCACTGATTCCTGCCCCTCTGCTTCAGACCCCCACCCCTCATGCAGTTCCTGGGACTCCCCTGCCCCCCCCCCCGGAGCAGTAGTTAAGAGAAGTACCGGTATGTTAGGTTGGGGGGGGAGCAAAGAAGTGTTGGAAAATTTGGCAAAATAGTTAAATATTCAGTGATTGGAATGGATCATTGCTTCACTGGAGAGAAGGCATTTTCTTCTATGTAAAAATTTTTATTTCTAAGGGAAGGGTTCACAGGAAATCAACAAAACAACAAAGACACCTAAAACTACATCTTTACACTTTGACCACATGGTCAACAACAATAGAGATTCTTCTTCTTCTTGACACCTAGAAGGAAATCACCTGAATAGATTAACCAATGATTGTTAGTAAGTAGGCTTCGGTTTCCTGGGCTTTGTCTCCATTGGCTCTGTGCCAGGTTCCCTTCCAGGTCAGTCTAAACAATAGCACACAAGGTAAACACACATTAACCCTATAATGACTGGATTTTAGACCTTGCAACACACATACGGTATTTCCAACAAGAGGTCCCATCCCACTAACATAAATATGTCCTTTCAGCAGAGATAAACAAAGAGATCTTGTGATGTGGCTAAGCCTGGCATAGATGTGTGCAAATTTCTCCTTTATTTTGAGGGGCAGGATAGTGCAAATCATGCTCATGCAAAGCCCATTTCACATTATTTTGTAGACATGACACAGTTCACGCATTCCCACCAGGTGTGCAGGCAGTCCTGTCCAGTATAGTTTCAACTGATTCACAGTAATTCTCGTTAAATCTCATTGTATGGAGGAGAAAGATTCAGCCTAGCATTTCCTGGATATAGTATTTTTTATGTGGACAGTGTTTGTTTCTTTCTTTCTTCGTGGTAGAAACATACATCTCTACCACTGTAACTGAAAAGAATACAATCCAGGGGAAAACTTTACAACTTGATCTTCCTGAGTGTATAAACTGCCCCCAATAACTGGATTTCCAGTGAGAACCATGGAGGGGGGAAAAACACTTGATGCTTATTTTAAAAAGCAGTAACATTAAAAAAACAGTATACTGTAAAATAGTTTTGATTTCTAAGCACTGTGAGTAGTTTTTGCAATGGTTCCAGTCAAGTAGAATTAATAAATTCATCTTGCAGCATAATTCCCAATTTCAACTACTACCCAAACTGTACCACAATAGTATACACATATGTGCGGATGTGCTCTGCATTCATATTTCTCCTCCTCCCCCCAGCCTACCATTGACCTTGTCAATTCCCCACAGTAGAAATAATTTTAATCTCAAGCAGTTTTTCTGCCCACTGCTCTCACTTGTCACTGTTACCCTTAATAAAGCAGGGCAAATGAACATGAAAGAAAGGACTAGGGACAATAGGTTTAAGAACAGATGTGATTCAAGTAGACGTAGTGAGTCTGGGGTTAGCTGACTTTGCACAAGAGCACCACAGGCTCATTTCAACCCCACCACCACTCCAGAGAGAATCGTGTAATCAAAAATCGCTTACACACTTTCTCTTCTGTCTCCACATTGTGGGGAAAAGGCTTGAGGCTTTACTTTATTTAAAAAGATGAAAGGTGGGGATTCAGAGAGGAGTCCTGGTGTACTTTTGAGTGGCATTGCCCCTCACATGTCCCTGAAGTTACAAGCCAGAGTGACCTTCTTTGTATGAAAATGAGAAACCCAATTTTAAATGGGGAAAGCAGGAGAGAAGGAAGAAATGCCCCAAGAGTTAAAATGGTAATGCTGTTTTAAAACAAGGCAATAAAACACTTAATTTCAAAAAAACCATTCCAGAAACAGTCTTCCACCCAGGCCTAGATTCATATTACCCAAAGACGGAAAGCAGGAGAGAAGGAAGAAAGAAATGCCCCAAGAGTTAAAATGGTAATGTTGTTTTAAAACAAGGCAATAAAACACTGAATTTCAAAAAAACAATTCCAGAAACAGTCCACCAGTATAACACCCAGGCCTAGATTCATATTACTCAAAGATAGAACTCACCTAAAGAATACTTCCGTTCCTTCCATCTGTCTCATTTCAGGCAGCACAAATAATAAAGTTCCTCTGATGACAGAAAGCAAGACAGTTTTGGTGTGCCTTTGAAAAAGTTTTGCTTACTAAAGACAAACAGAGACCTGTCTCTCATGCAGCTACCTACAGGGCTCACCTGTAAAACTAAACTAAACCACCCAGGGACCTGGCATCAAATCCACAAACTATATATTGTCTTGGAACAGATATAACTACAAGTGAAGACCCATAAGAAACCTGCAGGATGGTTATCCCATTCCTCACACCTTTGCTTCCTACCCTCTCACAACCTCTCTCACACACTTTCTCCCTTCTGCCCCCTTTTCTTACTCTGTATCTCTCCTCCATGCATGTCACTTCCTCTCTTTTTCTGCCCCCTCATCGTTCTATTTGTTTTAATGCCTCCCCACCTCATCACTTTTTCTCTCTCTTTCTGCCCCCCACCCCATCACTCTTTCTTTCTGCTCCCATCACTCTCCCAGCCTCCTGCCTGCTTCCTCCCCCACCCAGCGCAGCAGCAGTGGTTGTGCTCCCAGCCACCCACCTGCTTCCTCTGTCCTCATAGCAGCACTGGAAGCACTCCTGGAATCACAACAGCTCTCCCATCTACAGAGATCAATTCACCTTAGGGCTGCCAGCTCCAGGCTTGCAAATTCCTGGAGATTTAGAGGTGGAGCCTTCGGACAGCGAGGCTTGAGGAGGGAAGCAGCCCTCAGCAGGGTATGATGCCACAGACTCAGCCGTCCAAAGCAGCTATTTTATGCAGGGGAACTGATCTCTGTCA